TTGTTGTTTAAGATTGCTGTAGCTATTTGGGTCTTTTGTGGTTTTATATAAATATTTTGAATATTCTAGTTCTGTGAAATGCGCCATTGGTATCTTGATAGGAATTGCATTGATTCTATAGAGTGCTTTGGGTAGTATGGACATTTAAATGATGTTAATTTTTCCTATTCATAAACACAGTATATGCTTCCATATATGTATTTGCATCTTCTTCAATTTCTTTCTTCAGTGTCTTATAATTTTCTGAGTACAGGTCTTTTGTATCCCTGGTTAAATTTAATTCCTAGGCATTTTATTTTATTTTATTTATTTGAGGATTATTATTATTTTTTAAAATATATTTTATTGATTTTTTACAGAGAGGAAAAGAGAGAGATAGAGAGTTAGAAACATCAATGAGAGAGAGTCATCGATCAGCTGCCTCTTGCACACCCCTTACTGGGGATGCGCCCGCAACCAAGGTACATGCCCTTGACCGGAATCGAACCCGGGACCTTTCAGTCCCCAGGCCGACGCTCTATCCACTGAGCCAAACCAGTCCCGGCTGAGGATTATTATTGTTAATCTTCACCTGAGGCTGTTGCCTCCCTCCTCCCACCCACCCACTGCTTTTCAGAGAGACTATAAAAGAGGGAGGGATGGGGATAGGTAGATATATAGATAGGGAAATATTAATGTAAGAATCACATCGGCCGAAACCGGTTTGGCTCAATGGATAGAGCATCAGCCTGGGGACTCAAGGGTCCCGGGTTCGATTCCGGTCAAGGGCATGTACCTTGGTTGTAGGCACATCCGCAGTGGGGGGTGTGCAGGAGGCAGCTGATCAATGTTCCTCTCTCGTTGATGTTTCTAACTTTCTAACCCTCTCCCTTCCTCCTTATAAAAAATCAATAAAATATATTTAAAAAAATCACTGCGATTGGTTGCCTGACTGGGGCATGCACCCTGACCAGGGCCAGGGATTGAACCCACAACCCAGGTATGTGCCTTTGACCAAAAATCAAACCCATTACCCTTCGATGTGTGGGCCGATGCTCTAATCACTGAACAACGCCAGCCAGGATGGTATTTTATTTTTTTGATGTGATTGTAAATGGGATTGTTTTCTTAGTTTCCTTTTCGGATCATTATTGGTTTAGAGAAATGTCATCGATTCCTGGGTGTTAATTTTGTATACTGCTGCTGCATTGCCAAATTCATTTATCAGTTCTAGAAGTTTTTGTGGTGGAATATTTAGTATCATGTCATCTGCAAATAATGACAATTTTACTTCTCCAATTTGGATGCTTTTTACTTCATGCCCGATTCCTGTGGCTAGGACTTCCAGTACTATGTTGAAGAGTGGTGAAAGAGGAAATCTCTCTTGTTCCTGATCTTAAGGGAAACACTTGTAGTTTTTGTCTATTGAGTCTGATGTTGGCTGTGGTTTATCATATATGGCATTCATTATATTGAGTATGTTCCCTCTATTTCCACTTTGCTAAGAGTTTTTATCATAAATGGGTGCTGGATTTTATCAAATGCTTTTTCTGTATCTATTGATAATGCTCATATTATTTTTTTATTCTTTACTTTGACCATGTGCTATATCACATTTGTTGATTGCAAATATTGTACCAACCTTGCATCCGCAGAATAAATCCCACTTGATCATTTTTTTCTGATCTTTTTTAATATATTTCTGGATCTGGTTTGGTAATATTATATTGAGGATTTTAGCATCTATGTTCATCAGGGATATTGGCCTAAATGTTCTTTCTTCATAGTGTCTTTATCTGGTTTTGGGATTAGGATAAATGCTAACCTCATAAAATGATCTTGGGAGTCTTCCCTCTTGAATTTTTTTGAGTAGTTTTAGAAGGATAGGTGTTAGTTCTTTGAATTTTTGATAAAATTATCCTGTGAGCCATGTGATCTAGGTCTTTTGTTCATTAGGATTTTTTTTTTCATTACTGCTTCAATTTCATTAATTGTAATCTGTCTACTCAGATTTTATCATTCTTCCTGATTCAGTTTTTGAAGATGTTTCTAGAAATTTGTTCATTTTGTCCATATTGTTCAATTTGTGGGCATATAGTTGTTCATAATATTTTCTTGCAATCCTTTGTATTTCTTTGATGTCCTATTTCTCCTTGGCTGTTTAAAAATAAATCTAAAAGCATGTATCCTAAAACATAGAATGGGGAGAAAGGACATTGGACATTTAAGAATCCATGTCTAAGTCCTGATATATCCTCTTTAAAAAAAAAATACATTTTTTTTTTATTTCAGAGAGAGAAAAAGAGAGGAAGAGAGAGAAACGTCAATGATGAGAGAATAATTGATTGACTGATTTTCTGCATCACCCCCACTGGGGATTGAGCCTGCAACCTGGACATGTGCCCTGACCTGTTGGCTCATGGGTTGTCACTCAACCACTGAGCCACACAGCTGGGCTGATTGCCTCTTAAAAAACAATTACTCCAAATTCTGTGATAGTCTGATATTCCTTCTAATTAAAAAAAAAATAGTTTTTACCCCATGTGGATATTGAGGATATATTTATTTTTGTATTTTCTGTAGCACATGAAATAATAAAATACCTTTTATCTTTTTTAAGGTTTTAAGAATTATTGCTAGTGTGGCTTTATAAATTGGAAAAAAAGAAATACAAATAATGTCTGCAGGCTCAGAATGAGCCAATATAAAACAGATATTTTCTGTTTAATCCTGTAATGTCTTATTTATACAGTGAAGGTTAACTTTTCAAATATTTAAACTTGCTTCTGGCTTTTGTCTTGTTCTGTGTTCAGCCCTCTTTGTTATACATTTTTAAAAAATGTTCTGGTGTGATGCCATTACAAGATTAACTTGTCTGCCTATTAATTTATGCATGGTTTTAAACAGATCTTTTAAAAATGTAGACACTGTCTGGTTTCCAGAGAACACAACCATCCTCTGTATTTGGATATTTTCCCCTCTCAATGTCCGAAGATCATTCAGGTTTCCCTAAGACTCTGATTCCTCCAGTTTTCAAAATGGTAATTATGTCCCAAAATTTACAAGATAGTCAAGATTTGCAAATCTTAAGAGTCCACACAATTTTGAGAAATTTTGTATTTGGAGTTGAAATTACTTTAGGACTAGAAGCTAATGAATTTTATTAATTCACACATTGGTGCACTCTATTATTTGGACATTATGATAACTGCCTCAGTAGTGTCCCTTTAATACCTTTTAATGTTAAAATAATAAACTTAATTATTTACATAATGTTATCTTAAAGATTACTAGGCTTGTTTTAAGCTGTGGAGCTAAGAATATTTTAGAATATGCACAGTAATATACCAAAAATTAACTTATTTTGTTTCTTACATGGGAGCATATGCAGAAGCTCTTTATATGAGAGAATAAATATGTAAGTATGGTCCAGTTAATTTCATACAGAGGATGTTATTTCTGCTGCTCCTCCTTGGTCCCCAGATATCTCCTTAGAACACACACAACACTTGTTGCAAAGCACAGCATCTTCCAGCATGGTTTTCTTAGTGTTAATTGGTATTAAATGGGGGTAGGGTGAAGGCAAGTTTTCTGGTTAAATAAATTTTGGGGGAAAATGTATTAGTTTTTTAGGGCTTGTCAGAATCTGGAATATGCTAATATTCAATTTGAAACTAAGAGGGGAAAATATTACACATTTATAGAATTTTTCAAAAAATTTTCCCAATGGAACCTGTCTTGAGAGACTATGTTGTGGGACCTCTCTCTCTCCTTTTCAATTCAAATCAATTATCAATTAAGGTTCATATCCAGTCAAATTTTCTTCATGAGGCTATTCTCAATACCTGCAGTTGGAGGTCATTGCTACCCTTTGGGCACATTACAGCACTCTTATGGCTCTTTGAATCCTCATTTCCATTGTAAGCTCAATTCATTTTTTTATTTTCCCTCTTCCTCCCTCCCCCGTCTTACCCTCTCTCCCTTCCTTTTTTATGGTATTTTTGTTCTCCACTAAATTGCTACCCTTTGGGCACATTACAGCACTCTTATGGCTCTTTGAATCCTCATTTCCATTGTAAGCTCAATTCATTTTTTTATTTTCCCTCTTCCTCCCTCCCCCGTCTTACCCTCTCTCCCTTCCTTTTTTATGGTATTTTTGTTCTCCACTAAATTGAGATCATGGACCATCCTCTATTCACCTGTTTTCTATGACACCTAACACAGAATTTTATGTGTTTTAATCGCATAACTTTGTAGGAACTCAATAAATGCTTGCTGAAGGATTGGGACTATCTATTGCAAATGTTTGTTATTAATTTCAACAATTCCTCTGGAAAATGTTTCTTTATCCATTTGAGATTAAGTAGACTAGACTTTTATTTTTAAATGAATCTTTATGCTCAAATTTACACTGATTTAGCGTGACAGCGAGAATAATTCACCATAGCCAAGACTTCAACTTAAAAAAAAAAAATCAAACTTAACCAGAATCATGCAAGATTGTTTTTATTAAGCTCTGTGATTAGATTACAGCTAAGTATTTCAGGGATTACTTCATTTGAGAAGAAGACATGACACTGTTGGAAAAATTTCAACAAAATCTAAGGACTTCACAACTACTGGGAAAACAGAGTACCTCTATCCTACAGTTAACAGGCACATTAAGTACTTCAAGGAGCTGTTAACGGGAGGAATCTTAAGAGACAACTGGTCCTCTTCTCTACAATGATTATCCTGGACAAGTAGCTACAAAGGAAAGCACATGACTATGATGGAGATAGAGATATATTGCATCTAAATCCATTCTTTTCATTACAGATAGGACTTGGAGGTCACATGTCAGAGGCAAATGATTCAGGATAAGCTACACATAAGTATTCTATGTCGTATCAATGCTAATATAATTAGTATTAAAAAAAAAAGTCAAGAAAACAACATTTTGTATTTAAAACCCACCATAATATATTAGTGACAGCATGAGATGCTTAGCCATTGAGGATTCTTCTCTCTTCCCATGTGGTTTATGAGTTCTTCTGAGAAATTTTCATTGTGACTGTCTTCACCTCTGTGTATTCATGGAGACCATATTCTCCCCTAGAAAGAGTGGGGGGGAAACCCACAGAATTTAGCTCAGCACTACAAAACGTAACATAGTCTATGTTTTGGTTTCTGCTTATCTGTCTAGGAACAATGGAAGATATTTTCTGTGTACAGAGCATTTCAAATAGCAGCTAGCCAACCATAAGATATGTGGTCTTACATAAATCAGGAAACTTTCAAACAATTATTATTATTATTTTTTTTTTTTTGCATTTCCAATGAGCATGTATACTCAGTTGATTTTCACAGAAATTGTCAATTTTTGACATTGTTCTACTTATCCATAAAAGAGCTCACCACACACAACAAATTCTAGGTTAGGTTAAAATAAATAAGACACAGTACAAGAGGAGAAATAGTAATATACAGGGTGGGATAAAAGTGGGTTTACAGTTTGTATGGAAAATAATAAAGAAATACTAGAATAAACTTTCATGTACTCTCAATTGTAAACCTACTTTTGCCTCACCCTGTATAATCCATTTGAACAGTATAGAAAGATTACTAAATTCAAGTATATCTTATCTTAGTTATTCACCACCTGTGATTGGCCCAGATGAGGGATTAAAAATGATCATGATTCCATCTTCATTCTAACACGTCCTATTGAGAGGGCTTGAAATGAAGTATTTTCTGGCTGTAGTTTTAATATCTTAATTATTAATAGGCCAAAATAAAAAAATATCTGACCTATTTTATCTATTTTGTTTTTACAAAGGGGAAATTTATAAAAACATTTCAGGCCATTTAGACTTTTTGTGGTTGCTGGGTTTTTCTAGTCATCCAGCCTCTCCCATTTTTTTTTTTAAACTCTTAAGTACAACCCAAATGATCAGGAATTAACCTGAGTCAATCAATTGGGACCTAGTGTGTTATCAGGTTTATCAAGACCTTTTACCAGTTTTCAAAAACTGGTATGATTTGTTCTTTGTTAAATAGATGACTAAATAGATGGCTAAAAAGATTAGGCTACATTATTCTCTGTATTGTTTTGATCAGAGCATTGAATTACATGCACCTACAAGTACTCTTAGAATCATATCATGATGCACATGTAGGCGTACAGAGGAAAAAGATCTTGATCCTTTTCTACCCCTCCCTTCTAGCGATATAGGCAGGTTTGTAGAAGGCATCTTTTTCTCCTGGGTAACCTAATCCTCTTACACTGATTATTTTCTTGGGCCATTAGGCTTCAGAAAATGCCTTCTAAAAGCTTCAGTGAGCATGCTCTTCAAAGTAATTAAAGGGTTTAGCCTCAGTTGTCTGGAACCCATTAAAGGATAGCATTTTATCACACAAAGTTCGAGAAATTAATCCATGATTTTTGCCAATAGACTTTCCATTGTATTTTGAGTTACAGGACACTTGAAATTGTCAGGACAGTATTGTGATCATTGTCATACTCAGGTTGAAGTAACTCCTGCTCCTTAATATCTATACATATACTATGTCTATAACACAAAACACCTCTTTACTATCTTACTCGTCTGTGGGTGACTAGTTCTGTGCTTCTGGAAGTTTCAATATACCAATAACCTGGTACCTGACTGAATGCTGGTCTGTGTCAGTAGGTCTAGAGAGAGACCTGAGATTCTTCATTTCCAATGGACTTTCAGGTGATCCCCATGTTTCTCTTCCGGGACCTATACTATAGTCACAAGCTGCGTATGTTTTCCACTTTGGACCCAGAAATGAGCCAGAAACGAATCAAGTAAGGAGGAAATGTTTGCTGAGCTGACTTAGCAAATATAATCAAAACAAAATTCATGTGAGCCTTCTCTCTAAGCTTAGTAGTTTATAAAATTTTCATGCTCCCCTTTTCCAAAAAGAACAGGAGGAAAGACATTTTTTGTGAGGTGCTCAGAACCAATGGAATTTGAAATGGCAGTTAAGTCTCAACTTAGCTTAACAAGCATCAATGAATGCAATTACAAAAGAGGGGAATTTCTGGCATTTAATGAATTCCAGTGCCAGCACCATGATCTGGAGTCCAATGAAGGTTCGGGCACTCAGCCTCACCACCACATTGGGGTCTATATGCCACTAGTTTTAGGTCATTAAGGACTCTGTTCCCATTTGATGAATTCTGCCTTTCAATCATTGAGGATAAATTATAATTGAACTCTTAGAAGTTGTTTGAAGTGATTGCTTCAATAATTCTCTTTGATCATCTTGTAGAAAATGGCTTGTTTATTAAGGTTGCCAAATTTGGTTTCAGGGGGACATTAGTGGTAGCATCCTCAGCTATAATTTTTAAAGTAACATATTTACCATAAAACTTTTTTGTTTGTATTTTAAGGAAGAACAGAATCTATGCCAACATTCCAGATTTTCAGGAAATTAGTGAGGGTTGGTTCCTGTTTATCATCTTTTTTTCTCAAATTCCTTATGTCTTGACCAAGTTGTATTAAACAAAATTGGCATGTCCTTCAGAATAACCTTTGTTACAGCTTTTTGTACAAAGTAATGAGTTTTGCCAAGAGACTCTCTAATAATGGGTATTATATAAAGAGGTCGGAAAGGCAGGCTGCGTTTGCTGAGTCCCCACTTTGTGAAACTGTCAATGCTAGTGCATGGGCAGTAGGTCACTTTACTCTCTCACGCATCTTAACAGGAATGTTAACATCTCCATGTTAAACGGGAGAAAACAGAGGCTCAAAACTTGTACAACTTGGAGCAGGCTGCCAGGCTGGCAAACAGTGGAGTCAGAATTCAAATGTAAGTTGGTTAATCTACAATTATGTTTCCTTTACTATGCCATGCACTTTTTTATGGAATGATCTTTTGCCACTCTCTGCCTCCTCAACAACATTCTAAAGTTGTCCATGGCTTTTCACTGCCCCACTAATAAGATGGAATCAAATTCTCTTGAATTCAAAACTTAGGACTCATATTTCCCAACTCCTCCCCACCAGTCAACCAACACTAGCTCCTCAACATATAACATTCTGTTCGGAACTGCCTCTTCACCACTTACGAAGTTCCTATACTTTTATCCCCTAGATTGGTGGTCGGCAAACTCATTAGTCAACAGAGCCAAATATCTATAGTATAATGATTGAAATTTCTTTTCAGAGCAGAAAACCAATTTCTGCGCATGGGCCATGAAGTTTCAAACACACTGTATGTGCGGGCTTGCACGTGGTATTTTGTGAAAGAGCCACAGTCAAGGGGCCAAAGAGCTGCATGTGGCTTGCGAGCTGCAGTTTGCTGACCACTGCCTTAGATCAAATCCTATCTTTTCTGAGATCTCTTATTCTATCAGCTATCATTAAGTTTTACTGGATTTCTACTAGTTACAACCATAGAATCTTAAACATGTAAAGGAGTTCACAGTCCTACTTTCTCCCACCACAAATGCTGTCCTTCAATAATAATGTGCTCTGCACTTTAAGTGCTTTACCTCCATTAGGTATGGACTCCCAATCTAATACAACATCTCATAGTATGTGTGGGCTATTTTGCACTATATATCTTGTATACATTCCTCCTGCCACCACAATTACATGAAGGATGGGATATGGTATCATGTTTCTGGGACTCCCTGGACCTTATATACATACAAGTACTTAATTAATGTACATTGAGAAGGAGGTGAATAATGTTATTTCTTTCACCAGCTCTCCAAAGACAGTTGGTTCTTTGTAATGTTGCTGACTTATTTAAATGACAAAGTACATACATTCATGACCTTTAAACACTGAGACTCACTTTTACTTGTTATTATAAAATGGGCAGCTTTACTATATTTGATTCCATAAGGTTTGTATATGATGTCCTTTTTCTTTAAGAAATGAAGTGGTTAAATTGCTTGAACAAAAGTAAGCAAACACATTGCCATTTTCTATGTGTATATTTAAAAAGCAATTGAAGGTTTCTAAATGCATTTTTATATATAGTCTCAGTTTAATCAAGACTATAAAACATATTTTCCTTTGCCCTGGCTGGTGTTGCTAAGTGGTTAGAGAGCATCAGCCTGCAGATTGTAGGGTCACTGGTTCGATTCCTGGCCTTACATAGGGTGAGTGTGGGAGGCAACCAACCAACATGTCTCTCTCACATCCATGTTTCTCTTTTCTCTCCCTCCTACTCTCTTAATAAAAAAAAAAAACCCCATATAATCCAATGGGTAAAATATCCTTATGCCTTGGGTGAGGATTAAGAACAAAATACTTAGTAAAATTTTATTTTCAGTTTAGATTTTAGAATCAAGAAAAACTCATTCAGGTAATTTTCAATATTGAACTATTATTGATGTAGATTTCCAAAATTTTAAAAGAAAATAAAAGCGCATTTTTAGAGGGAGAAGGAGAGGGAGAGAGAGAAACATCGATCTGCTGAAAATCAGGCCTGCAATCCAGGCACATGTCCTGACCAGGAATCGAACTTGTGATCTTTAGGTACATGGGTTGACTTTCTACTGGGTCACACTGACTCGGCTGAAATTTGTTTTAGATAAAGGCACCCAATCTACTTAAGAGGTACTTTCAAATAATTACTTTCAAATAATTACAGTATTCTTATATTTGCACACTTCTGACAATCACCATGTTGTAGTTTCCAGCTTCTTTCTGGGAATATTTTCAGTAACCAAATTAGGTCCCCTATGAATAGTAGGAGTTTACTAAGTTATATTTCCCTTTTGCCATTACCTTTTTGTACTTACTGCGTAAACCCAGCCTTTAAAAAGCTATTTGGCAGTATGAATCACCAGGAAAGAACAGAGTCAAGTTTGAATTTAAGTAGTAGGCTATGGATTAATTCTCTGGGAGTGACAACTATTTTTATCTGATAAATATCTTAATAGAAGGTTATTCTTACAGTTCTCGTCCATTTCCAGACATCTTGAATCCACCAAAGGGACACTGGGCAGACACCATGCTATAGCAATTCACCCTGGAAAGAAAGAAAAAAGTATATTATAGATCATAATAAACCAACGAAATAACCCCTAAATCTGGAATTTTAAAAATTCAGCAAGTTAAGAATTCCATTAATTTCAATATAACATATTCATTGCAATAAGAATAAATCAGCAATTTTTATCTCATGGCATAAATTATTCAAATTCTATGGCACACCAAAACAAATAGGTATAATTCACTCACACTGGATGGTTGTTGTGTTGTCTTTTTTTTTTTTTTTTTTTTTTTTTTTTTGACTAAGGGAAAAGAGGTAAGTGCCCCAGACTAAATAGTTAGATATTGCATATTTTAAAAATTTTTTGTGGCACATTGGTTGAAAATCACTAGTATATATATGTATATACAGCCTAGAAACAAAATACCAGGATACAACTCAGCATGTGAATAGCTATTTGGGTAGGACATATATTCCTTAGAAGTTATAGTTTGAATTATAAAAGATAGAATAGCTTGTATGCCATAGGACAAAGGCTTGCTAGAGACTGGAGTTGGCTGGGTTACTGCTGAAACTCAATAAGCTTTATAATTCTCTTGAATTATGTGCTTAACAGGCTACAGTCAATTTTCTTTTGCAATGAGACTATGTATCATGTTACTCAGTTCACTTTTTTCATTAATTGGTTCAATAACTGCTTAAACTGAGGGTTTGGCAAGAGTTAGATTTCATTATTAACTGTTTACTCCTTGCAATGTTTCTGAACAAATATAATTACAAAAACATGAGTGATTAGAACTAAAGAAAAAATTACTATGAAAGATCAAGAAAATGGGAATATAGCTACGCAGGACATGAGCAAATTGTTTAACTTTGAATTTCCTGGAGGTCAAAGCCAACAGTAAAATTTAATTATCAACATGACTCTCATTAAACCTAAGAGGAAAACAATATTAAAGGAGGAACAAAGTTCTTTTAAAACGCTTTCCTCTCTTTATGCCATTATGATAGGTAAATAATAGTGTGACTTCTAGATAAATTGTATTATGCTTGGAAGAGTTTGGTTATTAATTGATCCTGAGATAATATTTAGACATTTTCTCAATTACAGCATTTGCTATCCATTTTTCAGAGTTCCATATTTTCGGTGGACCACGGAGTTCTCATCCAGCCTCTCTCCCTGAAAGATAGTTCTCTAAATAAACTTACATTTTCAAAAGGCAACATTGTCTCAGCTTTGTTTAATTATCCTTTCAACTGCAAAATTGAGTCATTAATTTTAAATTATGGGTGAAATCCCCCTAACTCTGGAATTCCGTAATTATCTGGAAAACACCAAGCAGTGACTATTTCTGGGACAATGCCAGAACATTGTTGTGTTTTTAAGATATAAAATAATAAGAATTTAGTCACCTCTGTTTTAATAGTAATGGAATTTCTGACTGGGGAGTCCCACGCCACTGTAGAATGATGTCATAATAAGCTTCCCAATCAGACAGGCATATAACATTGTGTGATTTCAAAAACCTGAAACTTCTTTAAAAAAAAAAAAAAAAAAAGCATTGGAAATGAAACGATGTTTGTGCTATAAACAGAGCTGAGGAATACTGAGTTAGAGAAAATATAAGTTCAAAATGATCAGCCTTGCCAATCGATTCTCTTTTTTTAAAATTCCTTGTTATAATGGGAGCTGCTATGTCCACAAACTCTGGTTTGCCCCTCAGGAACTGAGTAGTAGTGAGAAAGTTATCTAGCTTCTCTAAGCATGTTTTCCACTCTGTAAAAAATGGCATGGTTACACTTACTAGGATTGTTTCAAGGTGTAAGAGGATGTATAGAATTGTACTTTATATGGTGATTGATACATAGTAAGATTTTAGTAAATGGAGATAACTTACAATAGCAATGATGAATCTTATTAATAAATGTATCCTGGGATAATTCTACATTAGTCACTAGCCATTTTAGAAAGAATCAGGCTTTTGAGCAGAGGTTCTCTATCCTGGTTATACACGAGAATCATGTGAAAACTTTGAAAAGTACTCCTTTAAATAAAAGAGCTATGCCCAGGCTCAATCACAGAGAGGGATATAATTGGTAGGTTTAGTGCACACACTCCTCACCACAACTCAGTGTCTGTAGGTTGAATGTTCCTCAGATCTCTCTAATGCACAACCAAGGTAGAGAACCACTGCTGTAGAGTTTGAAATGGGTCTGAATTTCAGTTATCATTTATTGTGTGATCTTGATCAACTATTTAGTCTTGCTAAACTTTCATGTTTCTCACTGGTAAATTTAACATACAAAAGCAGCTGTAATGTAAAACAAGATAATGAACATAAGGAATGCAATGCAGTACCTAGCATACATACTTGGAGCAAGCAATTTCAGGAGGCTGGAAGGAGTTAAAGAAAATATCCTTCCAAAATAGTAGAGGGTATGTATGTGTTGTTTTGTTTTGTTTTTGGTAACAACTGTTTTTCCAGCAGGCCATGTGATTCCAAATGAAAAGGTTAAAAGTAATCTATTAATATAGTTATCATTGAAAATAGGTTTGACTTACCACACTGTCCCGGCCTGCAGAGCAGAGGAGACTGTTATGGCTTTATCAAGGTCTTTGGTGAAGATTCCTGCTGATAAGCCATAGAAAGTATTGTTTGCTCTCTTGATCACATCATCTAAAGATTTGAACTTCATGATTTGCTGCACTGGTCCAAATATCTACACACAAGAAATGAATGAAATAAATCAAAGTAACAGGTTAAGACAAGTATTTTAAATAATACTATAATTTTCTGCCTTATAAATCATCCTAAATTAAGATTTTGCTTCTCATCATGTGTAAGAATCAAAATGGTAGCTGCTGGAATACTAGGTTAAAGTGTGTTAAGATCTCTTTGAAACAAGATGGGATACAAATATGACATTATTCATTTTCTAGAATTGGAATTAATCTTCCAAGAACTTAATGATTATGCTTGAAATCATTAACTACAGAGTTGTTTTTCCATTTAGGAATGTTTTAAAATTTCTCCCTGGTTTTCCTCATCTTCCAAGTAATTACATAAACATAAACAACAAACCCAAAAAAGCAATGTTTATTCTACTAGATACATGAATAGGCACTGATTGGTAGTAATGTTTTAAATATCAGTTTACCATCAATTGAAATACCAACTATTATATTGGTCTTAAGATATTTTCATAATCAAGTTAGGTGAAACAACATGAATTTTTGTTCAGATTCTACACTTCAGCCAAATCTTACTCAATCACATACCAATCTTACTCAGTCACATACCAAACAGAATGATTCATTACTGCCAAAGCTTAAATCCTTATCCACTCCATACTAATCAAAGCATGAATTCATTGACAATGATTATAATCACAGCACAGGAAACAAATTCACAATTTGCTCATTCTAGCCTGAACATTTTCACTTTTGCTGAACTCTCTAGTTAGTGCAGCCCAAACACAACTGGGCACATGTCCTGACTGGGAATTGAACCGTGACCTCCTGATTCATAGTAGGGTCGATGCTCATCACTGAGCACCATGGCCTAGGCAGGCTCCTACTCTGAAGTAACACACAAGCTATTTACCATGAATATTGTAGGAACACAATACATGCTTGAAGTTGTTTTTTAATGTTTCTAGTTCTATTTGCTGTTAACCAAGATAAGCAAGAATGACAGATCTAATAAGACAAATATTTGAAGTCAGCAAATGGAAGTTTTAATTCAGTGGAAGGCTGAACTAATGTGGAGAAAAGAAGTCGTTTGATTATCCATATGCATTTGCTTTTTTTGTTTTTTCTGTTTCCAGATCGGAAATGGTGCTGCACTTTCTCCCTAATTTGATAACATTTTGGGAAAGAAAATAACCTACCTAGATTCTGTCATTTCATAAACTTGAAATACACATTTATTGAATGAACAGAATATTTAAAAAAAAGACACAGAAAAATTGGACCACTCATATATGGCTAATGGGCATGTGAAATCTATCAGCCACTCTAGAAAACAGTTTGGGAGTTTCTTAAATAAACTGCATTTATCATATGACTCAGCTATTGTCCTCCTGGGCATTTATACCAGAGAAATGAAGACTCAGTTCACACAAAAACCTATACACCAATGTTTATAGCAGCATTATCCTTTTAAGTCCCAGACTAGAAACAACCCCAAAGTTCTTCAATGGGTGGATGGTTTAACTGTGGCACATCATACTATGGATTACTATTCCGCAATAAAAAGGAAAGACTATTCTTACATGCAACAACTTAGATGAATCTATAGAGAAAGAATTGTGTTGAATGAAAAAAAGTGAATCCCAAAATGTTACATGAAGTATGATTTCACTTGTTTAATATTCTTGTAATGACAAAATTATAGCACTAGGGAACAGATTTGTGGTTAAGGGAAGGCCAAAGTTGGGTAGAAGGGGCATGGATTAGGCTATTAAATGGAAGCATGAAGGTGTCATGTGGTGATGAAATGTGGTTCTGTGTCTTGACTGTTTCAATGTCAACATATTTGCTGTGATACTATTGTTTTGCAAGATGTTACCATTGAAGGAAACTGGGTAAAGAGTACATGGATTTTTCTGTATTTCTCCTTACTACAGCAACTAAATCTACAATTACCTCAAAATAAAAAGCTTACATAAAAAAAACTGCACGTAATTTTATCCTTTTCAATTATTTTCAAATAGTTTCTTTCCAAAAGAGGAAAAGCAACATTAAAGAGATAGTTTTCTATTACTTTAGCTCTGTGAAGGGAGCACCTAGAAATTGTTCGGCCTTCTGATCTGTATTTGGCTGGATATTGTTGGCCTGCCCAAATGAATTCCTTACTATTTTTAATTTAGTCTCTATCACAACTTTAAACCTTTATCAAGAACAGAAAAAAAGTAACATTTACTGAGAAAGATGTTCAAAGAGAGAATTTTCAAGGGACCCTGTGTACCCACACGCAGACAGAATGTGGCAACAGAGGGAACAGAGCAGAATGAAACCATTTACCTCCTCTTTGGCAATGCGCATCTCATCCGTAACATTAGAGAACACCGTGGGCTGGATAAAGTAGCCTTTATTCCCCCAGGGGCCTCCACCACATTCCAGCTTGGCCCCTTCTTTCTTCCCACTCTCGATGAGGTCCAGGATTTTCTCATATTGTTCCTTATCAATCTGTTTGAAAAATACCGCATGAAAAAGAAAAGAAACTTAACAACTTGTAAAGAAAACACATTGTGTGTGGCCTGTTACAGGGGCTTCAGAATGCTATTGTTAAGTCAGACAATCAACACAGCAGACGAGGCTCAGATTCATTCTTTGGGTATAGTTTACTTTCATCTGACTTTTGAAAACCTTTTTGATGATACTTCCATGTACCTTGAAGATAGTGATTTGTATTTAGTATTTTTTTTTTTTTAACAGTTGTATGGGAAAAGCCTATTGGCACTGCAAGCACATGACTTTTTTTTTTTTTTTTTTTTTTCATCCTGGAAGAAATGCCTGTTAATAATCAAGCACACTGGAAACTATAGTCCCGACTGAAATAAAAAGATAGGAAAAAGGAACTTTGGTACTGGGTTGAATTAGAGAGGGAATCTGGAAAGAAGATGCTACGGGACTTTAGGAAGATTCCTGGACCTCTGTCTGGTCCTCCTCATTCCTGGTCCTCCCTCATGGCTGGGTCTGTGCTGACCACAGCCTGGACATCCTTCCCACTTCAGGTGCCCTGGGGTCAATGTAAGTCTGGTTTTAATGTCTAGCGGTTGTCATTCCACTTCATAAAACTGGCCACATCTAAACATGTAACAAAAAAACTTGAATGAATAAGTTGAAAAATGAGTGCAGAGTTTTGTCTGGGAACACTAAGAGCACATACCTCCCCTTCGCGCACCAGAATTGGTGCCACCTGTTGCCTCCATTCCTATGTTGGGACATTGAAGGGTTGGGTGACTCTAAACCACTGAGGAAGACTGTTTGTCTCAGGTGTGGCTGAGGTAAAGTTTTAAAGGGATATCTTCAGAGATCAAGGAATTAAGATGAGTTACTAGACTAACTTGTCTTTTCTCACTACTTAAAAAAATGTTCTATTTTCTTCTTGGATTCTGAAATCTTCCCCATCTTCCAAGCCCAATGAAAGGTTTTATAAAGTTCTAACTGCACACAACCCAGCAACCATAGCCAATTAGATTCAATGCTATGTGAAAGTGGAAACCGTTTTTTCTAAGATTCGCACAACATTCTGTACAATGTTGCTCAATGTTCCTCAATGCTCAATATTTAATTGAATATTTCAAAAACAAAATGTTTCTTTTTTTTAATATACATTTTATTGATTTTTTACAGAGAGAGATAGAGAGCCAGAAACAACAATGAGAGAACATGAGAGAACATCGATCAGTTGCCTCCTGCACATCCCCCATTGGGGATTTGCCCGCAACCAAGGTACATGCCCTTGACTGGAATCGAACCCGGGACCCTTCAGTCCGCAGGCCGACGCTCTATCCACTGAGCCAAACCAGCCTCAGCACAAAATGTTTCATTTCCATCAGATAAATGAAGCTGTAGTATTGGTTTAATAAGAGGTAATATTTAAATTATTGTATAATATTTAATACAACCAGGCTAAGAGTGAAGTTAGGTAGCTCTGCCTGGCGAAGATATTCTGTTAATAAATAGTCAAAGATCCTTGCACTTCCATACAAAGCTTCTCTGGCCTATTCCAATACATTAATCTGACTATGCCTCCAAAAATTATTTCTTTAATCTCATGATGTATTTTTGGTGACAAGGCAATCCCTGCTTATGCACTGGCATATAAAGGCTAAAGAATTATTTGTTAGAAAATGAATATGGTCATTAATTTCTAAAAATACAGGAATTTATATTTTAATGTATCGTTACTGACAATGTGGTCAGACAACCAGCACTACATTATAGCAAAATGTGACTCCAAAATAAATACAGAGTAAAAAGGGATAATACTAAGCTATTTATTACCTTATTTAACAGTTATTTTTGAGCTTTTATGTCTGAATATTTGGCATTGCCTAACTCCTAAGATTTTCCTACTGGGATATCTTTCATGAGCAGGAAACTACAAGACAGCCTTTTAACATATCTCAGCTATAAACTTTATGAGGTTGGGTAGCATAATCTGTTCCTTTTGGCATTGCCAGATACCTGTCCGAAGGTTTTCCTAATAAGTTGGGGTTAATCAAATTTATCTTTGGCTTAGTGAGTAAGTCAATAACAGTGTTCCCTCCCTCCCCCCAAATCAATAGTATGGAACAGCATATATGAATATTGTGAAAGAATAGAGCCTCTGAGCTTAATATGTAGTCTCTAGAGCAGGATTTTTCAACAGTGGCCCTATTGACATTTGGGCCAGAAGTCTCTGATGTTAAGTAACATCTCTGGCTTCTACCCAGTAGGTGACAGTAGAAACACTCTTACCCCTAGTTGTGACAACTGAAAATATCTCAAACAATATCAGTTGTCTCTTTGGTGGGCAGGGGGGCGAAATCCTCTGTTCTAGATCAAAACCCCAAAGTTTAGCACCAAAGGTCCAGGAGCATTGACCTTGATAACAGATAATCAAGAAAGAACTGGGCAAGGAAGAGGGAAAATGTCACCTTTGAATAAGAGAAAGAGTTAAAGTACTGGTTCTAGGAAGACAGAAGGTAAGGGGAACCCTAGCGGAGTGTTTGGCTTTTAACTACTAAGATGAGAAGTTTGCTATAAACCCAGGAACTCCAGACCTTTTAGGACACTGGTGTCACCATTAGAGCAACTGAAAGCATTGGAGAGAATTTAGAAATGTGCTGGGTGCCTCTCTCTGTGGGATGGAAGCGGAGACAAAGGCTTGATTCTGAGGAAGAACCAAGAGATATACTTGTTTAAGACAGTCCAAGTGGACAGGAAACTGTATGTAGAAATCAAGAGGTGAGCAGATGGAAGAAAACAAGAAATTTATGTTAATTGTTATTTTCCCTCAAACCTTTAATTCCCCAACATGACTGTTAAACTCTTAGATGTAAAAACTGTTGGGAGTTAGATTGTTTTTTAAATCCCACTGTTACAATACTGTCACCTCAGAAGATACATATCTGGGAGGTAATGCTTTTCAATAAAAACTAGGCTTAAAGAGGACACTTTATTCCGTCCCCTGAATAGGCTGTTCCTTCATTACACACTCACCTGAGGGCCTTGATTGACTCCTGGGGTCAGAGGATTCCCAAGGACATACTTTTTAGCCCGCTCGACACTCCTTCGAACAAACTCATCATAAATTGATTCTTCCACAAAAAGCCGGGATGCAGCTATACAGCATTGGCCCTGGTGGTAGAACAGTCCACGGTGTGCAAATTCCACAGCGTTGTCCACTGCAACGAAGACATGCATGTTAAAGAAGAGATATTTTCTAAAGATGATGCATTTTTATACACCTTTCTTAAAGGCAATCTGGTGTTACAGAAAAATCATGAGCCATGTAGCCAGATATTGATTCAATATACTCCACTTCTTATCAGCCAGGTGACAAATTAACCTTTCTAATCCTTCCTGATTTTGAAATGACAGCAACAAGTAGTAGAATCTGAATAAATGTGGTGGTTGGCCTTAGTCCAATATGTCTCAGGGTATCTTACTCTTCTTAATATGATGCTAATATTTAAAGGTATAGAATTTAAAAAAAAAAAACATGTTAGGGCTCCGAAATGTCAAACCATTAGAGTGTATCTAGAGTTCAACTGGGAGAATAGTAAACTATTGCAAACCAGAAAGAAAGAGTGTCTCTGTTAGACTTAACCCAGCATTATCACATTAGGACAAGCTAAGATTTTTCAAGAGTTAATTCTGGACTCTTATTAGGGCCTTACACGTTGACGTTAGAAGCAAGCCCCCTTTGTAAATTTCAAGGTCACTGGGTGACATTGCCGAACACCAGAAAGGACGGAGTAAAAAGTGAACAAGGGGCTTCTACTCACTGTCTGCGTCAGCAAACACAATGCAAGGGCTCTTTCCGCCAAGCTCCAGGGTCACCCTCTTCAGATTGCTTTTCCCCGCAGCTTCTTTGATCATTTTGCCAACCTGAAATGGAGCGTTACAAAAGAGGAGGCTTAGCCTGCTCTCATGAAGGCAGGCTTATTTAGCATTTTACATTTATACGGCTGGGGCCCTGTTCTTTAACCTTCTAGAAGGCCCACCTGCAGCCAGAGAGACAGGAAAATTAGGCTGGGCCAGCAACAGCATCCAGGGAGGCTGAGCTGCTGGCCTTTCAGAATGTTCATGGAAGAGAGAGCCTCAAAGAAAGAGCTCAGGGGGAGGCTCTGCTGTGTAAGTTTTATAATCTACAGCGCAAAATAACATTTTTTTTTTCATACAAATCACTGTATTCTGATTTATATTTTCTATCATACACTGGGCCTAACCATACACCAAGGTCTAACTGGTCATATTTCTCATCAGGGAAAGGAATGAGCCCACTGAAAACAGCTCACTCCAGTCCTTCTGAATTGGTAATAGGTATTTCGTTTCATTTCAACCACATCTGCTTATGATCTATAAACATGCTTGAAGTTTCAAATAAGGAACAAATCATTGAAAAAGAACTTTTGTTTTAAGGAAATGTCGGCTTAAAAACAGTTACATGAAACACACTTCTGACAGCTGGAGATGCAGACCTCCTTAAGGACTGGCCTAAGGAAACGATGTTACCTCCGTAGATCCAGTGAAGGCCACTTTGTCCACATCCATGTGGGAAGAAATGGCAGCCCCTGCAGTCGGCCCGTACCCAGGGACAATGTTCACCACGCCAGGAGGAAACCCTGCCTGCAAGGTGCAAAGTGAAACAGTTATGACAGAAACGAAAAGAAATGGGATCGGAGCTGCCACTCTGTGTTGACTTTATGAGCTTCCATATCAAACAAGATTCACTTAAGTGATTTCACTATTATTATTACTATTATTATTATTTCATTTGTTCCCACTAAAATAACCCCAATGGTTGGTTGCATTGTTGAGGGAACACTTCTTCTCAGGATAGGTCCATGCTTGACTTTTATAGATCATTGCTCCGGTGATGGCTGTCTCAAATGACATAATAGCAAATCAAAAGGACAGTCTGTATAGATGTGTCTGGCCAATTACTCACATAGAAGGGAAGCAAAAAGAAGAAGCAAAAAAGAATCTCACATTTTAGTTTCTACCTGTTGATTGTTCAGGGCATAACAACTGGGGTACAAATTCCCATGGGCATTATGTGATCAGTACAATGTTAAATGAGAACTATCAAACATTCACAATTAAGGTACACAGATTGATTTTATTCCTAGTTAAATAATTACCAGGTAGAAAACAGTGTTGCAACTGACATGGGCACATTAAAATTCCGTGTTATTTATATCACAGTGCCTCATTTGCTTTAAATTTTATTTTTCAATTACAGTTTACATTTAGTATTATTTTTGTACTAGTTTCTAGTGTATGGCATAATGGTTGGGTAATCATATACATTACAAAGTGCTCCTCCGGATATTTCAAGTACCCAGGGCACCATACAATTATTGTAATATTATTGACTATATTTCCTACCCTGTGCTGTACATCCCTGAGACTGTTTTTTCAATTACTAAGCTGTATTTCTTAATCCCTTTCCCTTATTTTCACTGAGTTCTTCAACCCTCCATCTGCTTTCTCTTTTCACTTTTTAAAATTTGAAGTGAAGAGTCTTTTTAAAATATGGGTTCAGTATTCCTAAATTTATGTTTCTAGTGTCCAAGAAGGTACATGTAGAGGAAGCCACAATAGAAAAGAGAATGTCAACAGATCCCCTAGTGAGCAGATGTGTTTAAAAATAATGTGGCTCAACATGATGAGCAAGCGTATTGGCACAGAGGCCTCCAACCTGCGGATGAGCTATTTAGACAATTTGCAGAAACTCCAGACCATTAATGGCAGTTATAAACCAACATGAATTTCAACATTTTAGTGAAAATTGTATCAATTTTACTATGAATTTGCATTTATGAGAGTTGGGAATCAAGAAACAAAAAAAGTGAGGTGACTGCTTGACATGAAGCCTCTGAGTCTGGCGCCCTGTCTCCTTGTGGGCAGAGGTTCATTTTGGTTGACTGCCTGCGGAGCGCCCAGCCAGCAGCCATGCTAAATGTGTCTGCACTGGACAGGAGCCCTTGGCAAGTAATGCAGTTTACAGTAGCAGCAAATGAGGTCTTCCTATTGGAAGGCAGGACTCCTGAGTCTTGTGCATATTTTGATTTAGGAGACTTACCTCTTTTATTAAAGACGCCACGTGAAGAGCAGTGAGAGGAGTTTGCTCTGCCGGTTTGACAACCACCGTGTTCCCGCAGCTGAGGGCAGGCCCTATTTTCCAAATCAACATTACCAAGGGGAAATTCCACTAGAAGGCAATAGGAAACAATAGAGTCTTTGAATCGCTGAAAGCCACACTCACTAATCTGACTTCTACATTATACACTTCCTGTAGATGTTAAATAATAACTGTAGTAGGTTTGTTAAATAATAACTGTAGTAGGTTTGTTTAATCGTCAGGAGTATTCCGACTAAATTATTTGCTAAAAGCAACTCATAAGTGCTAAGGAGATCGGAAGAAACTGGACCGAGAAGAGAAGCACGAGAGAGCACAACATATCAAGTGCTGTTATCCTGAGCTTTTTCTACCATGAAAAAAAAATACCAAAAAACACCACTGCATGGTTTGGAAATCAAGCATTACTACTAAACATATTATAAGTTTTATGTAAGTGTTTAAAAATGTGGTTATTCCTCTGTCTGTATGCAGATAATCTATTATAACTATTTACCCAATAACATTAATTAGTAGCATTTATTTCTAAGACAAATATCTTTTTCAAGACAAAAGCAGTTTAGGGTCTGAAATGCCGAGAGCTTGGTTCACATCTTAGTTCAACCACCAATGGGCCATATGCATTCAGACGAGTTGCATGCTCTCTCAGCATGAATTTGTCATCTATGCATGCTGATACACGTCTTCTCTATCTCGGAAAGTTGCCCTGGAGATGGATGGAGAAAGTAGGCCAAGTACTTAACACAGTGACTGGTTCCTCATAGGCAGGCAGTAAATATTAGCTATTAGTTGTATTAGAGATTGTGTTGTTTTATTGGAATTTTTGAACTAAGAAGAAATTTCACTCAAAACGTTGATATGTATACATTATAGACATTTCAATCTCACTGAAGCAGAAGATAAGTCACTGCTACTTCCTCCTCTAGGAACTCTGGGGCATTTTATCATTGTTTTTATTTGACCTTTTAAAATATGATGTTAAAATGCAATCTAGATAGTTTCCTATTTGTGGGGCTCAAAAGAAAAATCTTCATAATTCTGCTTTAAAATACTAGCTTCTCTATCAGGAATTTGAAGTATCAAAGCTTCTTATGTAAAGTGAGGCTATATTCCACACAGTGTTCCGATAGTTTCTTCCATTTTAACTTAAAAAATTCACTCAGGACTTGAAAAGAGTATATAATGCTGCTTTTTAAAAACAAAGAGTCTCAAAAAGAGTATATAATATGGCATTAAAAAACACATACACAAAACACCATTGAGTAAAAGGTCAAGTTTGTTGATGTTGTAATACTGAAACACACTCAAGAGATATGCAGGATATAGATAGATTTCTAGATTATGTAATACATTTCCAAGGAATTTAGTCACAGAGAGACACAAGTTCAACAGTTACTACATTTGTTACATATTTGGCAAACATCTAACCATCTATTTGTGCTGGAGAAAGCCTCATTACCAAATGAAATACAATTAGAACTCGTTTTTTGTTTAAGATTGAAAATTAAATAGGAGACCAACTTACAGGAATGATTTGGCCACACACACCAATAGGCTCATGTCTTGTGTAAGTAAAAAAGTCTCCATCTAGGAAATAAAACACATTATCATTTACATAAATATGATTGATATTCATGAAATGGTCATTTGGGGCTGATGTGGGAGAAGGTATAGACAGCAATAATAAAATAAGAAGGTATCTCCAACTATTTGCAAAATAAAAATTTGAGCTATCAAATATCATTTTTAACTAAATCTTTATTACTGAAAGCATTACATATGTCTCCCCCCCACCACCATTGACCCCTACTAGCCTGCCCCCAACCCCCACCCCAGGCTTTCACACCCCTATTATCTGTGTCCATGGGTTATGCATACATGCATACACGGTCTTTGGTCTCTTCTCACCACTGCCTTCCCTCTGAGGTTCTACAGTCTGTTCTATGCTTCTAAGTCTTAGAATCTATTTTTCCAGCAGTTTACTTTGTACATTAGTTTCCACATTTGAGTCTTACATAGAAATTTGAAATGAGAGGAACCATAAAACCGAATTAGGCCAAAGCCAAAATGCAAAATTGGGAAATATCTGAAAGACACTTAATTCTCTCTCTCACCATGCAGGAAGGCTGTTTTCTAAAGCATCCCTTTTCTCCAAGTTTCTTTTCTTTCATAAGAAAGGAAGTAAAAAAGTGTGTGACTAAGCAAAGAACTATTAAAGTTATGTTTCTGGAAGCTCTAAGCTCTAAAAATGATGGAAACATTTTTAAGTAATATAATTTAAACAATAATAAAATTGAAAAGCAGAATTAAAAAAAAAAATCTCAAGAGCAATAAATCTTTCCTACTAGCATGTCCTAATTTGTTTTTTTCCTACCAAACAATAAAAGCAAACTCTTAATCCATGAAAAGAAATGTCCAACGTACATTTCTTTTCCATTTGGACTTGACTGCTTCCTATGCCTCCTAGTTTGATGTGGCTGTCCTAAGGTTACGTTGTGCTGTGTATTCTCTGGCCCAGTTCCCACAAAAACTTCCTGGCTATCATAGCAAGAAGGCTCCTTATCAAAAGCTATTGGCACTTTAACTGACTTCGCCCATTTTGTCAAAGGGTTAAGTGAGAGTTTCTAAAATAGCCACATTTCTTGGTATCACCAGGCTTTCGTTCTCCCTTTAACTTCCTGGCTCTCACTTCTAACCTGCCGGATGCTCTAATTACATTGGAAACGCTCATCAGGGCCAGCCCTGGAGGGTGCAGTATTTCTATAGTCAGTAAGTTTATATGAATCAACTTCTACCCATCATGACTTCTAAAATGATGCTTTTTAAATATTCCTATCCCATCATGTGCATAGTATTTTAGTACACACTAACACACAAACTCTTCACTCACACCAATTCTCAAATCAGGCTATAAAAAACAGTCCATGTGTGAACTGGTTTGTTTAATTAACCTGATATAACTAAGCCGCGACCAGCCACAGACGATCATAAGTGACTCACACCTGACATGCAAAGTGGCTTAAATAATTACAATTTAGAAAGGGTCTAAGTGCCTCTAGGAATAAAACCTACATAAATAATTTCAGTGGCCCTCTTTGAAAAGTTTGGACCCTTAGAAAGAAAATTGCCTTAAGTCAGTAATTCAAGCGTAATAATGTTTCAATTTTAATATTTTCTAGAATATCTATAGTGTATCTTCTGCACGGATTATGCTGAAATAATTTTAAAAGCCACATAATGAATTGTAGCCGAACGTCCAGGTTCAGAACTGCATTGTCTCAAAGTCGGGAAGACGATAATTTTGCCTTATTTGGTTCACATCTTTAAAGGGGGTGTTTGCAATTATTCAGCTCTACAGTCATCTCCTCAGAGCTACTTACCAATAGGTATTGTGCGGCCCTGGATCTTGTCAGCCCACCCTGCACAGTAGCGCAGTGTCTTTATGCAGCCTCCTAAATCCATCAGATATGCGTTGGAAAATAGTTTCCCACCATTCATTGCCTCCATTGTCTGGGGCGGGGGGGAAAAAAAGGATCAGACCTCAAATCTAAACTTCTGTAAATTTTTAGATTAAATATATATAGTTAATGTTTGGAATAATGATGCCCTAATACATTCTGGAAATAGAAGTCATCTTGTTTACTAGTAACCTCCTTTAAAAGGAGACCGAAAAAGGAGGTGAGATGACTTGTTTTGATTTGCTTAAGGTCACAGAGCAAGATCTAGATAGAAAGGTTAATAAGATTCTGGTTTCTAAACCCTAGGGCTCCTGAATGTCCTCTAACTCACCAACTTTCTGAATGTCCCATTCTGAATGTCCTCTAACTCACCAACTTTCTAGGAAGTGTCATAATTTGATACACACAACCAGTCTCCTTAGACAGTTCAGGGTTCCAACAAGATTTCACTGTACAATACAAATGTGGCTGACAAAATTTGTGACAGTGGCTATTAGTGATGCTTCAATATTTATTTTTAATTTTTGCATTCCATCTGCATAGAAGCAATTAATTCACACAAAGTGAAGAGGCCCCTGGATCTTTCATCTATGAGTTTCTTTAGCAGAATTTTTAATTGTGAAACTCCCAGTTTTGCCATTATTGTCATAATTATTGTGTTTTTTTTTTTATATGTTTTTGTTGATTTTCAGAGAGAGGAAGGGAGAGTCAGGTAGAAACATCAATGATGAGAGAGAATAATCGATCGACTACCTCATGCATGGCCCACATTGGGGATTGAGCCACAACCTGGGCATGTGCCCTGACTGAGAATTGAACCATGACCTTCTGGTTCATGAGTCCATGTTCAACCACTCAACCATACTGGCCAGGCTCATAATTATTGTTTTAATGGTCAGGCTGTAAAGTTCAACATTTTTTAGTCTAATGTCCTAGCATTATCAGGTGATCACTCTCCTCTTTTCCTCCCTTCCTTTTGGAATTTAATGTTCTCTGGGGCAGGAAAGTACAGATGATAAGATATTAAATCTTTTCCTCATGTATAATTTGTCTTTGCCTTATATTGCACACCATCTCAAAATTCAATTACACATGCCTTTTGTATGCCTATTCTATTTCTCCCCTGAAGATCTTATGATGAGGAAAACATTCAAATCTCTATAATCCACATATCAGATAATTTAAAGAAGCCAATTTTGGCAAATTCTTTCCTTCTACAGGACATTTTGGTTAACGTAGTTTTATTTCAAACCCTTCTAATTGCATAGTTTTATATATTTTGAATCTTTGAGTAATAAATTGTGTTTTGAGGAACTAGAATTGCCAATGTTGACTTTTTAAACAAATGTAGGCCTCTTTGTTACTATTAGTTAAGAATCTAAAAGAAATATTTACTCTGGAACCTGATCTTGTATTGGTTTGTGTTAAATTGGCTTCACTGTAACACCCAATTGAGAAGAAAATGAGGAAGTAATTGCCCTATCCATTTTATGTGCTTACTCATCTAACTGTTAAAATGTTTTTTTTAAAAGTAGTATGCATAAAATAATTTTTATAAACACATGAATAATTGGATTTTTTTCTTTATTCCTCACATTTTCACCTATATAAAACACATAATGTAATCAAGACCATTGTAAGCACACTCATTTCAAGAAGGGAAAAGGGGGGCATTTATTAAGTGTCTTGGAGGGCTAGATTAAGAAAAAATAAGATTTAGAAATATTTTAGGCACCTTTAAAAAACTCTATATGATTTTCTACTTAAAGAGGTCAGTGGTCAAATAAGTTAGAGAAATTCATATATTTTTCCAGGATACATGGTACCTTGTTAATCACTCAGAAATTCCATAGTGAAGGAAAGAAATTTGTTTAATTTGATTTAACTCGGGGTTTGCCAAAGTTTAGACTGTAGAATTTACTCTTGAAGTAGAAGTTAACATCATCCAGAACCGGAATACAGATTTCTATTTAAAAATAAACTCAATGATAATGTTCCTATATGAGAGCTGGTAGATAAAGTCTCTTTGATTTCTTTGTGGAGAGCATGTAGTGATCACCAAAATCAAAACAACTTGCAATCCAAACAATGAATGCTTTCTAGGGGTCTCACTAGCTGCCTGGTTTGGTTTGTACTCACTGCCAGCAGCAGACGATCTCTTTCAATTAAATCTGCCAACTTGTACAGAAGCCGTCCCCTGTCCGAAGCATCCATAGTACGCCAGGGAGAGCCAATCTGAAAGGCCTGTCGTGCAGCCTTCACTGCTTTGTTAATATCCTCCTGCAAGTCAAAGTTAATTCAATTCAGTAGGTTAAATATATTAGCAAATCTGGTGGCAATATATATATATATAAAAGCCTAAGCAATTGTTGGACTGGTAGCTATGATGCTCACTGACCACCAGGGGGCAGATGCTCAACACACAAATATGAAAACATGGAACAGACTGATGAATCTCAGAGGGAAATGGGGAGTGGGGAGGGCAGGAAGAGATTAACCAAAGATCTTATATGCATACTAGAGGCCCAGTGCTCGGATTCATGCACAGGTGGGGCTCCTTAGCCTGGCCTGTGGGTATCAGGCCAAAACTGGCAGTCCGACATCCCCCAAGGGGTCCCGGATTGTGAGGGGGTGCCAGGCCAAGGACCCCATTGGTGCATGAATCCATGCACTGGGCCTCTCGTAAGCCTATAAAACAGACTAAGGTGCCTCACGAGCAGCCCCAGAGTGTCTTCATCAGCTCAAAGTCTATCATATTGCATCAACACAACTACTGTACATTGGGATTACACCTGCTGCCTGATCTTTAAAATGACTAGTTCCCCACACATAGTTCATGCTTGATTTTGTAGGGCAAAACATAGTATTTTAAGATCTCATTTGAGTACTTGCCCTATGTCAAGGAAGTTTCTAATTACCTCACACATATTAACTTATTTCATTCTCAATAATTTTATGAAACACATATGTTTCCCATTTTACAGATGAAGAAACTGAAGCAAAGAGAGAGTTGCCCAAGGTGAATAGTTGAAAGTGGCCGACCCGAGTTTTACACGGAGGCTGTCTGTCTGTAGAGCCTTGGCTCTTCCCAATGTCTTTTGTGCTTTGGTGACTTGGTTACCCAGAGCTCCAGAAAAAGCTCAAGATCTAACATGGTGATTATCCTCTTTAATCTCTGGGATGCTAAGGTCTGTGCATTCTCTCAGGAAGAACCTATTAAACCTTTAGGTAGAGAACCTTTTTTCTGCCAAGGGCCATTTGCATATTTATAACTTCATTTGCAGGCTATACAAAATTATCAATTTAAAATTTATCCTGCTATATTTGGTCAAACATTTCATTAACTCACCCCCAAGGCCTTGGCAGGGCCAGACCAAATGATTTTGAAGGCCTTATAAACTCCTGGGACAGACATTCCCCAACCCTGTATAGAAGTATGAATAAGAACTTTCTTTTCTTGTTGAAGAGGAAACTTTATAAACATATTGCTCAATCCTTTTGTGCAGCAGCAAAAAGGCATACAGGCATACAGGCATACAGATAGTAAAAATGGCACAGAGAGGGTCTGCATGTGACAACTGCTCATTTCCCACTCTTATTTCCCAACTGGGTACAAAAAGATGCTTTTGAATCCCTAAGTAGGTAAATAGTCAATTTCCTTTCTTTCTCTTTCTCTTCCTCTCGCTCTCCCCCGTCCCTCCTTCTTTCTTCCTTTCTTTTTGAAAACAAAACAAAAATTGCATTACTTCAAGTAAAAGTCAAATAAGTAATGCCACACTGAGTCTAGCCTCCTTGCCTTCACCCACACTGCCTTCATTCTCATTATTTTTTCTGACCTGGGTTTAATATTCCTGTTCCTTCCTCGTTACACACTTTTCCACGATCACTCCATTCCCTACAGATTCCGCTTCATACCTCCTCTGAGCTTCTACCAGAATACACAAATTACAAAAGTCTCCACCTCTGCCATTATTACTTCTTGTGTGTTTTTCTTTTCTTTTCTCCATCAAACCAGTTGCAAAAACATAGATTGCTTTTTCCTTTTTTTTTTTTTGTATACAGGTCTGGCCACAATCATAGCTATGTCCCTGGCCCACAGGTAGCATCTTTCTGCAGGAGACATGATTTTTTGAGACTCTGAGGGGGAAAAATTATTCTACATTAAAATTATTAATTTGAGAGAGAGAAATAATCGATTTGTTGTTTCACCTATTTATGCATTTATTGATTGATGGTTGAATGAGCCCTGACTGGGAATTGAACCCATAACCTTCGTGTATAGGAATGAAGCTTTCCCCAACTCAGAAACCTGGCCACGGTCCTATTCTACATTTTTTAAAGTTTCCCACAATTAAATTAAACCTCATTCAAAGATGACATTACCCCCTTGAGAGGCATGGACTTCAAATTAATATCTCCTGCCATAGGTTATGTTCAATTAAGAAACCTAAACTTATAAGCCTGCAAATCAAAATAAAAACCAATAGACTATTTTTTCAGTATTTATCGTCATTCTAAAATGATTTGGGGTGAGAGGAAAATTTCAGAAGTGTAAACTGGTCTGATTAAGATTCTATTTACAGAGTACCAGCAAACATTCTTTCTCTATCATACATCATACAGTTGTATATCTCACTATGTCTAACCTGAGAGAATGATGCGTATATACAATAAAATATATGCATGACTACTTTCCCTTCCTGAGAAACATATATACTGTCATATTTTAGGTTATTTAGTTCATCGCAATGATTGCTTATATCTGGACATTGTTTTAAGCCATAGACTCTAACCTTTTCAAGTTATATTTGGAGGGCACTGTTGAAAAAATAAAAAAGGAAACCACAAGAGCCTGAAATTGCCAGCATGATATGTAGATACCGCAGCTTATAAAATATATGCTGTGATATATTTAAACAGGTTTCTGTGACACAGCTTTCATTTAGACCCTCCTGCTCAGTGTTCTGCCATCAGCCTTAGCCAAATATGGTTTATTGTAGACATTCTGGCCTCTCCGAGGGACATGGAAAAATCTTGCTTTAAGACAAGTAACTCTGCCATAAGGAAAATACATCCCTCGAGAATACTGCTACACATAAGGATGTTCTTTCGGTCATGTTCTTTGAATCATGCTCTACTTCTCTCACATCTTATATTTTTATCTTGTGGGAACAGAAATGAAATAATGGCAGTTAACTTATAGCATTGAAACAAAACAACCCATAATGTGAACACTGGTTCCTCATATATTAGCTATGCAAGCTTTGAGTCATCCATCCATTCAACCATATAAAGATCTGCTAAATTCTCTATTCTGTAGCATTATTATTATCGGGCTGCTAATAATAAAATACTGATGTAAAGAGATGGCCGTTTTGAAAATTCCAACAGGCTCGAAGAAAATGTACAACAATATAAGCACTGCAATATATTGCAAAATGTAAAAAGTATTCGGAAGTGAAAGGTATTGTGATGTGACTTTTCTAAGCTTTAGTTTTCTTATCTTTGAAATAGGAATGTTACCTCACAGAGTTGTTTTGAAGATTGAATAAGGTAACACTCGAATCACATTTTCTGTGTAATGCACATTATGTTAACAGATCATTAAATGGTAGCAGTTGCTATTGCAGTTGTAGCAGTCAAAACAACCTTAAGAGAACTCTCAGCAGTTGTAGTACATTTTAATCCTTCCTTTCAGTTTTCACCGCTCTGTATTATTTTAGGCCATTATTATCTCATACTGTTGCTAGCCTTCACAAATCCATTCATTCTTTTCTCTCCCCATTCGGCCTGGCCAGTTTTTACCAGGCTAATCTTCTGCAAATATTTTTATCTTATCACCTTCCCTTTCACATATTTGCAACTGCCCCTCTTTTGCCTACAATCCTAAGGCCAAACCCAATATTTTGGGCCCCACCTCACGTACTCAAACCTCCGTTTCCTTTTCTTTTTTTAAAAAAAATTCTATCTGGCCCAACTCTTCACCTTTGCTTTTGCAATTCTTGCCTTGAACATTCTACCAACATACCCCTTTTACTTTCAAAGTCCCATATATTCTTTAAGACCCAGCTGAAATATCACAATCTACCTAAACCCTTGCCAGACTAATCCAGCTTGATAGTTAACCCATTGGACGCCATAAGCATCTATAGACACAAGTGGACCTTCCCCACTCATCATGCGCCTCTACAGCCGCAAAACCTTGCATATCAATCTGGTTGCCTGATTTTAAAATCAGACTTGTTAGTGACATCTCTGGGTTTGTAAAGATAATTCTGGTAACTAAATTCGTAAATATCCCAGCACATATGGAAGAAATGGGAATGGTTTCCATTTGGTACGTGTGGCAGTTAACTGGTTAAGAGCCTACTGGGCTCTAGGCACTAATGCTAAATGTGTTATTAGCTCACAATTACTGCCATAGTTAAGCATCATAGACCCTGTTTTACAAGACAGGAAACACAGTATGAAATCCATCCTACAAAATTTGATCCTATCTCTAACTCCTAAATCCATTTTATAGCTCTATAAGGCTATGCTGATAATGATCTCTTTTTGCAGTGAATATATATATTTCTCTCTCTATTATAAGCTATAACACATTCCTTACTGTTCCATGCCTACAATCAGCAGTTAATACTTAATAATCTGTTATTTTATAAACTCACTCTGTTACATTGATTTTTATAAAGATGCTCCTTATATAAATAATTTGCTTATATTGACAAGTAAATGATAAATCATATCTTAATTGGTTTAATTATATAACAAAACTTTTACAGTAAATGAAACTATGAGATAGAAAAGTATTCATTTTCTTAAATGCCAGGAGAAGCATTGCTTGTATTTTTATTCTAGGGCTATCATTTTCCAAGGTCATAATTGTTTAATTAAGTAGAACAGAATTTGGTACAGGAAAGTCAAATTTGCTACCATTTTTACTGCTCAGGGTTTAAAATGTTCCTTTTCAGAGGTAAGGGACCTGAGCTCAATGTGTAAACATAATGCAAATGATGATGAAATACCAAATGCCTTGTAAACAGAGTTACAGAAGAATGAGACTCTCAGACTGCATTTCTATACTGAATTCATTCAGATTTGGAGAAAAGAGTTACCTGATCAGTTTCACTTTTACACCTGTCATAGCACTTACCTTAATGGATATTTACTTTTATCCCCAGCAATTATTGGTCACGTCACGCTTTAGCATTAAACGCGGTTTCCAGTATTAGTCAATGTAGCCTAAAAGAGCCACTGAGGGGAAAAGAAAACAGTTCCCACCCACATCTGTGCTTTGCTTTGTAACCTCCATTTGTTCTTCCCCTCCTCCTTTCTTTATAAAACCACTGAGAGGCAGTGTACAGTCCATTGGTAATCCCATCCTACTCATCAATTAAATCCTTAAACCTTCTTGGCTCATTATCTGAAGAGCCAGTTCCAGTATATTAGATTTACTCTGAATATGTAATTTGGCAAAGCTCTACCTTTGGCTCAGCAATGTTAGGAGTTACCATACCTTTTTTTTTTTTTTTAATCACCAAAATTGTGAAAACAGCAGTAATTACTTAATAACAAATGTTAGTAGCTCATTCTAAAAGAGAATGTGATGACAAGTGTGCTGGATGTTAAGCGAACAGTTGCCAACTGTGACATTTTATATCATAAACAATTTAACTTGAGTGCCAAGTAGCCAGCCAACATGAACAGCATTATGGCTCGATTTGAAGCTTTGCTGGAGGTGAACGAGTGTCCTTGATCTACACTTTTCTGCTCTCCTCTGAGTAGGAGTAGTTGTCAATAAATGACAAATATTTCAGAAGCTTCAGGTATGATCACCAGCTCACCCTCACTGCAGTTGGGGAAGAGAGTAGATTCCACCAACAATGCCAAGAAGACCTCAGATTGCCTGATGAGATCTCCCCTGGCCCTCCAGGCTCAGATCTGTTTTCCTGGTGAAACTAAACCCCAGTAAGTAGCAAAGCGAAATGTCCTGGCCCTAGCGCTAAAGCATCAAGATTTTTTCTTTTGTTACTTGCAACCTGCAAACAGCTCTGCCATCTCCCTCCTGAGTGGCATTTGTTCCTCTAGAGAGAAAGAGTAGGCAGCTGTCAAGGGCTCAGCTGTGCCCTCACTAGACTTTTATTACTTTTATCACCTCCCCAGTGTTGACAGAGCTACTCAAGCCACGAGGCAGACATTTGAGGTAATGCGGTTCTGTGCACATCTCTGAAGTCTCTGATAAAAACTATTCTTTGTTGAATGCAAATAATAATTTCTTTTTTTTTCTGATTTCTGGGAATGGCTCACAAGACACAGACTTCTGGGTCTACTAGACTATGTCACCAGGCGTCATCAGAATGTCTGTGCCTGAGTTTGGTCTTATGACATTTCTTAGAGGGGCAAAGCGATCACAGAAGTTCCCAATCATCAATTGTCTTACCTGTCAATGTCATGCACCTTATTAAATGTGAACACTTGAGAGGAGATACAATGTGTTGTTTAATACCTTAGATCAGGTTCTTAAAGTGCGTTCCCCCCACCCGGACCCCAACCAGCAACATCGGCATCACCTGAGAAATGGTCAGAAATACCAGTGCTCAGGACAGCGATCTCTACATTTTACAAAAAAAAAAAAAAAAAAAAAAAAAGAATAGAAGCTCAAACAAGGTAAATATGAAAGTGGAACTTCTTGCTACAGAATATGGTGTAAACTAGGTCCCGAGGACTGCACTGCACTGTGGCACAGAGGTAGCAAACAGCATGTAATGTCGGGGGTGGTACTGAACATGAGGAAGTTGAAACTCTTAGGTTAAGGGGGGTTGGTGAGGAGGGGTGGGATGGAAGCCAGAAACAAGGATTTGTTTCCACCACCATTCCTCCCCCGCCCCAGAGACAGTGAAAAGCCCTTGAAGAATTTACGCATGGATAACTCCAGCACATAGAGAAGGTGAACTCTGAAAGCAGTTGACATGCCTCTCCATTCTATTCTGCTTCTGCTTCTTAAGCTGTTGACCCCTTTGACTAAACTCTGCACTTTAAGACCCTAAAGGCATGGGTCTTAACTTGTACTGCGGATCCTGCAACCTGAACCCAGGGCCCTCCCTAAACCCAGGGGAGCTCCCCGGGTCTATGGCTACCTTGGAGTAGGTCTACAAGACTTAATGCCATGCAATTAGTGACCTCATTGATTGGGAAGAAGGAAATGACAGAATGAAGACTCCACAGGAACATGTCACGAATGCTGTTATCCTGGGGTTTTGCTGACTGCATCTCTCAGTGGTCTTTTCATGCAGCAACAAAACATTTTTACCATTTTATATCTCACATGAGATTGAAATCCTGACCACATCTGGCAAATGCAAGGCCAGAAAATCATTTTTACCCTTCTTCTCCTTCTCCTTCTCCTTCTCCTTCTCCCTCTCCTTCTTCATTTTATCTCATTTTTTTTTACTACATTCAAAATAAATCTAAGAAAATCATTTTATATTAGGCTGTGAACACATACACTTTTTAAGGGATATAAAAAAAGAATCTGAAGGCTTTTACTCTCTGCACTCGCCAGGCTATTTAATTTACCCTGTGTAATTATTTGTAATAATTACAAGGTAAGGCAGTAGCCTTGCCAGTCACAAGGTATGGGATCAAAGGACAGCATGTGAATGCTGATTTCATCATTTATGAACACTGTCCCCTTGAGTAATTTATTCAACCTTTATATTCTGCTATTACATCATCATGTGTAAACGTGACTGAAAAGAGTACCTTCCCAGAGACAGCCCCCGAAACCATATCTTCATGACATGTCTACTTGAACTTGAAATGGTGTTTGTGGCTCATGATGGTGAGAAACAAGCAAAAAAAAAAAAAAAATCTGGCATCAAATGAAACTAGTTCTAAGAAACTTACCCGGTCTCCTTCTTCTACCTCACAGAGTTTCTCCTCCGTTGCAGGATTAAAGACAGGAAATTTCTTGCCACTCACTGAATTATGCCATTCATTGTTTATGAAGATCTGCAGGGAAAGAAGAGAAAATAGACAAACGGGCATTTAAATATGGAGCAAATTTAATTTTTTAAAATTAAATATATTTTTATTGATTTCCGAGAAGGGAGAGGGAGAGAAATATCAATGATGACAGAGAATCACTGATCAGCTGCCTCTTGAATGCTCCACTGAGAGGATCGAGCCCATAACCCACGTATGCCCTGACCAGAATCCAACCATGGCCTCCTGGTTCATAGGTCAATGCTCAACCACGGAGCATACCTGCTGGGCTTCACCTCAGTATTCTTGAACAAATAATTTAAAACTGAATTAAAGAACCTACAAGCCAATAACTACACATTACTGAGACCCATAATAGTCCATACATGGGTGCACTATGATATTTGTGCACCCATGTACAATAAATAAACAAGGGAAAGGAGAAAACTTTTTATTTGCCCCCCGACATCAATATAATTATTCATATGGCAAAACAGCATCAATCTATGTATTTGAAGGAGTTCAAAAGAATTGTGGTGCTAGCCCTGGAATTGACAAGAAAATTATGTAAGCATGAATTCATAAAGGGGATGGGGATGAAAAGCAGTTCAGGTGAACAGACTAGATGTGCAAAGACATATCTGGAGGTACAGAAAAGATAGATGTATTGAGAAAATTCTTGTTTCTCTGGTAGGGATATGGAATACAGATGAAATTCTTATTATCCTTCATTAAGAAAAAAAGACATTGGCATCTTATTTCAACTTGATGCAAAATAAATGTAGATTAAAATATTGACTTGCCCAACATCTTTTAGAATGATTCAGCATTCTAGCTATCAAACACATATTTTATAGAATCCTGTAATTACTCTGAAATTGTATTTTCTTTTATGCATCTCTAGCCCTTATTTTTGTACTTTTCCTCCAAGGGATGGCTGGGAAAGACCTTAATCAAAGTGTCCCAAATTCAACTCACAGTCATCTCTAGCTTTATGCTGCTCTTAACTCAAATTTAAGCTCTAAAATGTGCTCAAGTACATTCTCTATCTCTCTGCCTCTCTGCCTCTCTCTGCCTCTCTCTCTCTGCCTCTCTCTTTCTTTCACACACACACACACACACATACACACACACACACACACACACACACACACACACACACACACTTCTCTCCTGCTAATGAGAAACACATTTCCTATTCATCCTTTTGGTTGATTTTGTAAAGAAACTTACCTGTTCTCCCTGCTCCCTTCCCCCCCCCACACACTTCTGCCTAACTGAAATTTAATTTAAATTTCACCCTGTTATTATAATCTTCCTAGATCAGCCTAATTCAGATATTGTTCCCTCCTCAGATCATTTAGGTGGTTCTGATTCACAAATTCCTTAGCATGATAATAAGGTGGTTTATGAACTCATAAGTTTGTCCTATTATTTCCACAGTTTACCTTTGTTTCAGTCTCATTCTGCTGTCTCAGGTACCATGCCCTTCGGCTTCACACACCTTTTATGCATGCTGTTTCTCAGATGGAGTTTTACTCTTTTCTTGTACTCACACCTTAAAATGTCATCAACTCATGAAGATTTTACTAGTAGCTTCACTTGGATTTAACCATTTTCCTCTAACATAGTGTAATAGTATCCTATTAAATTACTTATTATGTTCTGCTTTGTATTAAAGTTAGAATCTACCTATCAGCTCACCTAATTCCAAACAAAAAACTAAAGACATCATGGTACTTGCCTAGATTTTTTAGACAGTCTGTAAAATTTGCATCAGATTCATCCCTAGATTTTTAATTCTCCTTACTTCTACCCTAAAGATAATATGACCTCTTTAGACTTTATAGCTTTTAAACTAAGAGAGCACAAGTCTCACCCTGTCAGAGACATACCCAGAATTCCATCCTTCCACTATAAAATTTTCCAAAAAGAAAACCCCGAATAAAAATGAGCTATAGAATTAATTATATTTTGTTAGGCCTGTGGTGTGAATACTTAAAAAAACTTAAATATCATCTCTTGTGATCAAATGTAGATGTTTTGCAGCTTGAGCTCTTAAGCTACTCACAGAGTATAACTTGGCCCTTTGGGCTCTGAAACTGCCTGCAGTCAGATCCCAGCCGCCAACCCAGGGCTCCCTTCAACCTCCCATGCCTCTGATTGTGCTCTTTGATAAATTGTAGTCCTGGCTTCACTGTTAAATAGTACTCCCTGTACTATAATTGTGTGATCAAAGAGAGCTCTTTTCTATAGGCCTGGGCCAAAACTAGGACTTGATAAATGCTTAATCATATATTTACCATTGTTCTCACCTCACAACTTCACTTGCTAGATCACTGAGTCATTGAAAGCGCAGTTGCCCACACCAATCAGAAAGCACATGATGGAAGTTTATGATCTTATTCCTCCTGCAACCCATCTCTTTGATCATCAGCTCCTTGCAACTTTTGTCTTTATAAACCCTGTCCCATCCTCTCCATTTTGGAACATTTTCTTGGTACATACCAAGGGCTCTGTTTCCCAGATGGCAAACTGTTACCTGAATAAATTCTCTGTATCTTTCTTTTAAAAAAATATCTCCAGCCCTAGCCGGTTTGGCTCAGTAGATAGAGCGTCAGCCTGTGGACTGAAGGGTATCAGGTTCTATTCTGGTCAAGGGTACATGCCAGGGTTGTGGGCTCGGTCCCGAGTAGAGGGTGTGCAGGAGGCAGCCAATCAATGATTCTCTCTCATCACTGATGTTTCTCTCTCTCCCTCTCCCTTCCTATCTGAAATAAATAAAAGTACATATTAAAAAAAAAAAAAAGGATATCTCCATCTTGGCCAATGTCACTCAGTAGCTGAGCATCATGATTGGATTCCTGGTCAAGGCATATGCCTGGGTTGTGGCTCTATCCCCAACAGGGGGCATGCAGGAGATAGCCGATCAATGATTCTCTCTCGTCATTGATGATCCTATGTCTCGCTCCCTCTCCCTTTCTCTCTAAAATCAATAAAAATATTTTAAAAATGCACTCTCCCTTTAAAAAAAAAAAAAAGATATCTCCAGATATTGGTTTACAGATGAAACTTTGTAGTTCTTACTTGATTCCCATTAGGTATGTGATAATTTGAAGTTTTAAGTTCTCAATAATACATCTCTTGATGTAGTAAAGCTTATTTTACTTATTGTTATCTAAGCTGTATCTGAAAATCCCAGTTCAAATGAAAGTCAGTGAATGTTTTATAAATGAGAATTAACCTAAAATAAGAACACAAGTTTATCTAGCAGCCTCAGGCAGCTAATGAAACCCGACAAAGATGACCCCAAATTACCGGCAACTGCTCTGCATTATTCAGTTTTAACCTTTTATATAGGAGGACACTGTGAACTCAACTTTTGTTTGAATTTGTGTTTATATTCACATAATCCAAATGGTCACTTTTTTTCTTCTTCAGAAAAGTGTTTGTTAAGTACTGAGTAAATAGCTGCCTCATTATTTGGAAGGTATGAGGGGAAAATAAGAGATGAGTGAGACATGACCCCTGCTCTCAAGAGAGTGCATTTATATCAAAATCAGCTGGTAAAGAAATGAAGGTTGTGCAATAAAATCACCAAAGCAGTGCTTGAGTTAATAAATTGCAGAGCGGAATTCTGGGAAGAGAGGGATGTGGGCTAGAAGAATGCATCCTTGAGGGATAGGATTGGATTGGTGGAAAAAGAAAAACAATGAGCAGAGGGAGGGAATGCTGTTGAGATATTTGTGGCAGGGAGGAGATTAGCCTGGAACAGAGAGCTCTAGTGGAAACAAGTCAGAGATAAGTTCTGACAATGAAAATGAGGCCAGTTTGTGGTGGATCCTGATCTTCAACGTCAGAATTTGGACTCTATTCTGGATATAGTAAAGGGGTTACAGGATCAAATAAGGGTTTCTAGGAAAACTAATTGTAATGTCCCCAAGTGGATTTATAGTAGAGTAACCAGAGTCCAGCCATTAGTTGAAATCATTTTAACATACCAGGCTTGAGGACATGAGGCTTTAGAGTACCACAACATAGCGCTATAGTCTGAAAATTATGAATTAGATACATTCTCCTCCAAACAGGGGCCTTTCAGCATAACAACAGAATTCAACACACATAATGGCATGATCTGGTTGCAATAAAGATCAAGAATGCATCATCCTTTTCCTTCCTCTGAGCTGTGGAGAATTAATTGGTAGGATCTACCTTAATGATTTGGTGAGAAGGGGGTAATTTTATTGGCTTTACATTTGACATTTGCTTCCATCTAACTGTGAGACTAAATATTTTTTTTAATAATCCCTTTCCCTGTGGTTTTATGAAATAGTTACAGTAGTCCTACTTTGTCTGTAGGGGACAATTTTTAAGATCTCCAGTGGAAACTTAAAACTGTGGAGAGTACCAAACCCTATATAAACTATGTTCTTTTCTATATATACATAATCATGTTAAAGTTTTTTTATGTTAAGCATAGTAAGAGATCAGCAACAACTAATAGAATAATGATATCAACATACTGTAATGAAATATATGAAATATATGTGAACGTGATGTTATTAAGTAGAATAAGGGTTACCTGAATACAAGCTCTGTGACACTGTAACAGTTGATCTGATAACCCAGTAGGCCCCTAAGTAACTAACAGGTGGGTGAGCATATATTAATGGATGGGGGGGTGTATACAGTGTGGAGACACTGGACAAAGGGATTGTTTGGGATTAGGGTGGGACAAAGGACTCAGAATGGTATGGAATTTAAAATATAAATTTTTTATTTCTGGAATTTTCCATTGAATATTTTTGGATGTGGTTGACAGAGGGTAACTGAAATTGCAAAAAGCAAAACCATGAATAAGGGAAAAGTACTGTATATGGAAAAATGTAGGCTAACAAATATTTATTTTAATGATTATGACACCTATTTAGGCCTGTTGAACTGCACTATCATTTCCCTCCCTTTGTTCATTTTCCATTTGTTATTTGCCTTTAGTTCAGAGGAAATGGAATTATGCTGTAAAAGTA